AATCCAACAATTAGCAATGATCCATCATTCATGCATGTTTCACCATCACCCCTAGCAAGGAATCTACTTACTAAGCATGGTGGAAATGAAGTACAAAACTAAACTAATCATCAAAATCATCATCATCATTGTAAACAAACTATTAAGAATCAAATTAATTAATAAACTTGAAAATGCAACAAATGATCAAAATAAAATGCAAAAGATTTAATTTAGAAGAAGAAGATTCTTACAAACTTGATCAAATTAAGGGAATTATGCTAGCATTCAAAGTAGAAGGAAATCAAATGTAGAAATCGTCCAATTCTCTCAAGTTTCTCTCTCTAAAATCTAAGAACTAGAAAAAAAACTCCTAAAACTTCTCCTCCAAAACTCTCTAAGAACTTAATGAATAATTCTCTCCCTAAGATAACTAATGGAAAATAAAGTAGACATCCAAAAAAAAGTCGTACAAGCACGCCCTTACTCCGCAATGCGCGACCGCGAAGAAAGGGGTATGGAACTGAGAACTCAGATGGCGCGCCTGCGCGTGAGGGTTGCGTGCCTGCACGCCCGTGCCCCTGGAGCAGGGGATCTCCTCTGTGCCTCCATCAATGCAAGAGGTGCGCTCCTCTTGATCGTCATTGGGGATGGCAGTCCCAAAATGAGTTTACAGTGGGTTCAACACCACGCTTTCATGTGAGCACAGCATGAGGGCATAAGCATCAAGTCTTTGAGTAAGCCATCCCTTTATTTGTGAGATATATGAGAGCTTCCACCTTGCACTATGAGCATCTTCTAACCCGAGGAATCACCATGAAGGGCCTCGGACTTCACCTTAAACCTGAAATAAAGAAAGGAAAACAAGTAAAAGGGAAAAGATGATAAAATCAATGAAAATACAAGAAAAAGGTAGAAAAGACTAGAATGAGACCAACTAGAGAATAAAAGACTAAAACTAACGGAAAAAGCATAAAGAAAGCTATTAAAGCAACTAAAATCAACCCAAAATAATTCCATTTGACTGCCATAAATGGCGCTCATCATCTGCACAACATGAATAATGTTAGCACTACATCTTGGTATCACATAACTAAGTAAAAGTTAAAATGTTTATAACATATTACCTGAGGTCAATGCTCCATTCATCTTGAGGTAGTCAAGGTATTTCTGGCAGTTGCACTTCTAATGCCCTTTCTTCTTACAGTAAAAGCATTCACTTTCACTTGCAGGCTTTTGCTTTGGAGTTGCCTTGGGCTTTTCAGGAGCCTGGGAAACTTTATTGCCCTTGCTCTTGGCACATGCCCCTTCTTCTTGAACCCGTTCCCTTTCTGGACCATAAGAGCCTTTTTCTTAACGTTCTTGGGGATTTGCTTTTTTGCACTAACCAACATAGCATGCAACTCATTCATACTCTTCTCAGCATCAAACATGTTAAAGTTCATGATAAACTTATTAAAAGATTCTGGAAGTGAGTGGAGAATGATGACCATAGCCATCTCATCCCTGTATGGGTGCCCCAGTTTCTCTAAATTTTGAATTAGGCCGATCATTTTGAAAACATGATCATGAACTGTTGCACCCTTCTCCATCTTACAATCCAAAATCTCTCGATGGAGCTCGTACCTCTCAACTCGTGCCTGTTTCTTAAACAAGCTTTGAGTTCTTGCATGATGGTGTATGCATCCTGGTCATCAAAAAGCTTTTTAAGGCCTGGCTCCATAGTAGCTAACATGAAGCAATTGATTGGCACAACTCTGTCAAGAGTCTCTTTATGCCTACGCTTCTGAGCCTCAGTTGCGTTTTCTGGCAAAGGTGCAGGAAATGGGGTGTCAATGACATCCTCTCTACCTTCATATTTTTGAACAAGTCTCAGCATTCTTTCCCAGTTGGAAAAGTTGTCTCCTATAAACCTATCCTTCTTAAGGAATGGTCGAAGGTTGTAAATGTTGTTGTCATTGTTACGGCTACCCATCTATGACAAAATAAGGCAAAGTTTAATAATTATGTGTAATTAAAAATAAAGTACCATAACAAATTAAATAGGTTACTTTAAAGCACTTTATTCAATAATTAAATGATCCCAATTAAATTAAGTGATTCCAAGATCTTTTATTTGTGTAAAGTTGACCGGACTGAGGCCCTACCATCAAGCATTACATTTTCAAGGTGAGTAAACTCTTTACTCATTACAACTCTTATAACTCTTGGTTGAATAATTAACCATCACAAGTTTAATTATTACCCTTTGGTTCAAGGTTGTAAACTCTTTAGGTAACCTTGTTGAGCACAACCAATTAAATGTGTAAAACGTGATCTACCCAAAATTTCCTAAGGTAACAAGTGACACCCTGCGGAGGCAGATCCATCACTTACGATCGAAGGGTTGTTGGGTATCTAATTGGAAAATCAATCTCAATATTAAAGGAAACTAGATTTATTATGTTGTGATTATTTAGTGAACTCTAGTGCATCATCAATCAACATAAATAAAATCTAACATGCATAACCCACTAATACGTAAAATAAAGCTTGACATAGTATGGCCCCTTAGTCCTAAGAAAACTAGAATTGAAAATCTCCTACTTGAACCTTCATGGATCTCCATCCACCTTGCTCCTTTAGGCCTTCACTTCATAGGCTTCTTTGGACTAAACTATCTAAATAACTAATCAATTTACTGAAAGGAATGGTGTCCTTCTAACAAGTGTATTATTCCAATACAGGGTTCGGAATTATTAGAAAGCTAGTTCTTCAGTGAGGTCAAGTGATCGGAATGTCTAGGTGGAGGACGCTTCCGATCAGTAATATTAATGTGTAATTAATATTACGGCTTAATCTTGACTGAACCCTTCGGGTCGCACCCCAATCGAATAACTGATCTAAGACGACGAATCAATCCGAAGGATTAGATGAGTCATTAAAGTATTACGAACAAATGTAGGGTTTTGTAGTGACCCGACACTACGCGGAAGGAAACCCCCCAAGACCCGCCCCTTAATTAAAGCAATTAACAAGCATAATAAACTTAATCAAACAAGACTAAGAACAAGAATTATACCTTTGTTGCGTGCTTCGCTCCTGAAGAGCTCTTACTTCAAAATCCCGAAACTACGAGATCTCCGACGGATCGTACCCTCGACCCGACCCGAGCGTCCCAAGTCTTGAAGGTTAGTCATGACCCGGACAAAACAAAACTATGAGTTTTACAAATCAAAGGTTTACTCTAATTACAAGAGTTGCCTTTTTAATTCCACTCAAGGTTGTGTATTTCCCAATACCATGCCTTTGGTATTTATAGGGAAATGCACCCTTGAACTTCATTCCCCAACCAATGTGGGAGAATGAATAATTTGATAATTAATTTATTTACAAAATAAATTAATAATTAAATTCAATCACAATGCAACAAGTGTCAAGGGGAGAGAGAAGGTTAGGTGAGGACCATGAAGAGGTGGGGGGGACCATTGCCTTGCTCCCCAAGGCTTTGCCCAAGCCTTGGTCCCCACCCCCTCAAAAAACCGCCTTAAGCAAGGGGATGTTGGGCTGCTGCCAGCAAGCACGCCAGCTAGCAGTGCCAGCTAGCCCAGCCAGCAGCCTCGCATCCCCAGCCAGGCAATGCTTGCTGGCGCTGGGCGATGCTTGTGTTGCTGTTGCGTGCCAGTGCTAGGCGCTGCTAGCTGCTGGCGCTGGTGCTGGCCCTCGCCTCTCTCGCACATGCTCGCATAGCCAGCATGCGTGCTGCTAGCGAGCCACGCATGCTGGCCCCTTGCCTCGCCAACCACACGCACCACCCTCTTACATACACTCGCATCCCTCGCTGCACCTCTCGCACACGCACATGCACTAGCATCTCACGCACACCCACGCATCCCCTAGCAGGCTGGGTTTGTAGCGATGATGGGCTGCTGTGCGTGGCCTAGTAATGTGATGGCGCCCAGGCCCTCGCACACGCATGGTGTGCTGCTTGGTGCTGCCATGCGAAGGCTAGCACGCAAGCCAGCACGCATGCTGCGCCAATGCTAGGCAAGCACCCATGCTAATACTTGGTGTTAGCGATGGTGCTGCCATGCTAGGCACGCACGCACGCCAGCACCTAGTGCCAGCGATGGTGCGCCTGGTGCTTGCGATAGGTAGCGATGGTGCCTAGGCATGATGCTAGGGCTGCGATAGCGCCTAGAAATGATGCTAGGGCTGCGATGGTGCGCCTAGCCATCCTAGGGCACGCATGGTGCGCCTAGAGATGCTTTTTGGGCTGCGATGGACTGTGATGGCTGCGATGATGCGCCTAGCACACCTAATGTGCTTAGGCTTGCGCCTAGCCATGCCAAGTGCATGCTTGCTCGAACTAGCCTGGCATCCACATGGTTAGACCATTGTGGTGCTACGGCTACGCTCGTACTTGTCGCTTGTGATCTTGTGACGCTCGGCCTCAACGCCCTAGGCACGACATCCGACGTCTGTATTTGTAAAACTCTGCCGACTCATTAAATCCTTTCGGATTAATTCGTCGTCTCGGATCGGTGATTCGATTGGGTTCGACCCAAAGAGTTCAGTTAAGATTAAGCTGTAACATCAATTGTACATTGATATTACTGATCGGAAGCGGCCTCCACCTAGGCATTCCGATCACTTGATCTTACTGAAGAATTAACTCTGTAATAATTCTGAACCCTCTATCGGAGTAATACACTTGTTGGAAGGACACCATTCCTTTCAATCTCCCATTTTGGCTGCCGTTGTATTAGATGAATATGCAACAAAATCATGATCTATAGACCTAATCCAACGGCAAGGCTAATGCAACGGTATTTTCCACCTACTACAACGGTATATGTTACCTAATACAACGGTATATTTTCACCTAATGCAACAGTTGTACATGAAATATACTACGTATTATATTTTTTTGAGGGAATACATATATATTTTGTTAGTTAGTTTAAATGTAAAAGGTAACAATAAATATAAAATATATCAATATATTTATAACAATAAACGAAGTGTATATATATATATAATATGTACGTTACATTACAAAATATTGTTTCCATATATATGTTACACTATTGATACTAACTAATAATAAATAATAAAAGTTTACTAATTAAAAATCGTCCAAAATACAAATCATAATCATCACATGCTCGAACTAAATAAAACTAGTCACCGACGTGTATGCTCCATTTGTTGGATGACAATATATAATCATTGTACTTCATTCATCTCCATCTAGCTCGCCATGCACCTACATGTAAAAATAAAAGAAATTAATACTTGAATATAACGATACAAATAAGGCACTTAAATATCATGTTGTTATTAAGAAGCATAGCTGGATACAAATAACAGACATACAACACCAAATTTCACCCACACCTTGATAAAGTATTATGGCCCATGCACTGATGAATCATTATGAATATAACAATGGTAGAGCTCAAGAAAAAAACAAAACATGTTATTAGATTCCCCTTGTATTGTTTACTTAGGTAATGAGAATACACCTGGAATTACTAAACCACTCAGAATTATAGGTGGTATATTTCCTGTAAGTTTATTCTCCATGAGATGTAGGGTTTGTATGTTTATCAAGTTTCCTATGCTGGGAGGAATTATTCCAGATAACTGATTTCCACTAAGGTCTAATGCAATCAATGCTGTTAACTTCCCAATAGTTTCAGGTATCGAACCTTCTAATCTGTTTGAATAAGCAAAGAAAATTTGGAGGTAAGCTAAATTTCCTATTTTAGATGAAATTTTTCCAGTAAGATTATTATAAATGAGTGAAAGTTGTTCCAAAGATGTGCAGTTGAAGAAATTTTCAGGGATACTTCCAATTAAGAAATTGTTTTCTAAGTTTAATTATGTCAAACAAGTAAAAGGAGCATATAGGACACGAAGCCTAGACCATTTTTTCTTCTAGTCATCAATTGAAATCTTTCATATAATCTCACTCACATAAGTCACTTCATATTACTTACTTTGCTGACATAAAAGCCATGCCAAAGAAAACAGCCTTCACAGCTTGTTTTTGGCCAGCATAATCAAACGCTAGAGGCAACATCTCCTGTAAGGTGAGGAATGCCATCACTCCACCAACTGCCAAAACCCAAATTCATTAGAGAAAAGATATATGCCCAACCATTTTCAACAAATTTGATGCAAGTATGTACCTGATCCTAAAAGGCCATCAAGAATCTCAGGATTTAAACTGTTTGGGAATAGGTATGCTACATCAAACAAAATCTGGGCTATATTATTCATGTAAGATAAATGAAATAACACAACAGAGTGTATTACCCAGATCGGGATATGCCAAGAATTTAGTTTCGTTCCATATGACCATACCTACAAGTATAACACCCAAGGGCTCCGCCAAACCAGAGAGTGATGCTATCTTAAATGCTTGCCACTTGCTAGAATGCATTAACAAACTAAATAAAGTAATTCTAAAACTAAAATAGTATCTCATGACAGCAGAAACATAGTTTGTGGCACAAGAACAAGCAATCACTAAGAACGGCATAATCTCCACCAAGCAACAACTCAAAATCTCTAATAAGTTGAATGTTAAGAATGAACTAGTTATAAATTGAATGTTAAGTATGGCTAGTTATAACCTTACTGTTGCATTTGCATATGCACAATCAAAATATGTATTATAAAGGTACTCTCATCATTTGAGAGGATGGGCAACTATACCTCAGGAATGTTTTGCAGAGCAATAGCCAAAGCTAAATTAAGACCCACCCGAAGGCCCTGGAAATGAAAAAAAAAAAAAAACAAGACAAGATTTAGGGGAATAATTGAAGCATGAAGGTAGGTGTCTCTTCATGCCTGCAGCTCTGCAACATTCACAAATTTTAGAGCAAAAGGAGCAAGCAGAATACAGAATAACAAAGGTCATTATAATTAATTTCTGCAAGTGGCAATGATTTTGAGAACCATGCTGTAAAATGAATCTTAATTTTCACAACAATTCATCAAGAAAAGAAGCAACCAAATTTGACAAAATGCACTCCTCCTTCCCTGCCTACCACCACACCAATTTGCTAAGAGACATAGAGAGAGAGAGAGAGAGAGAGAGAGAGAGAGAGAGAGAGATGAGAAAAGCAAACAAATAAAAGTGAGGAGAGGGTACAAGCAGCAATATGGAAGACATTATATAAACACTCTTCCATTCCTATCACTTATGAAAGTCACATTTTCCAATCCCGAAGACTGAGATGGAAATAGATTACATACAGCATAAGATGAATATAATTGTTAGTTTGTTATGTTATGTTATGAAGGTTATAATTCACAGGTTTTTTACTGTTGGAAAAGAAAAGCAACATAATCTTTTCAACCAAAATGAGGTTGAACTACATGTCTAAAATTGAAAGCGGAAGTAAAATCCTAACAAGCCTCAAAAAGATAGAAGCCTCGACTAGCAGTCCCCTCCTTAGAAAAACAAAGTCGAGAAACACAAAAATGGAGTTCAAAGATAAAATTATGAGATAAATTAAAATATCTTTCCATGCTAGAAGACTGGGTCAAGTCTCACTTGCACAGCAGAACCTTGTTTTGCCAGGATACCCCAGTTGATATTTTTCTACCAATTTCACATTTTTACCTCAAGGGAAGCAGTTGTTTGGATATTAAGCTGGGGAAAGGGAGGGAAGGAATGAGATGAATCCATTTTCCTTATACAAATGGTACAATTCTTCCATACATGGAAATGAAAGCAAGATCTTCACTTCCACTCCTCTTCTTTCCCTTTACCTTCCCTTCCTTTCCCTTCTCTTTAAAATTAATATCGATGGCCAAATATTATTAGGGTCTCGGTATAGTATCTGTACATATTAAGGCCATTTATGTTTGCAACAAAATCAGTCTCTCCATCTGTGAAAATTGAGCCCCCCATCTTGAGATTCTTGACTCACCAATCGCTCTTAATATCAACATGTACTAAACCTCTAGCCTCTCAAGATGGTTTGACTCTTTCAATATGTCAGAAAGATTTATGTTGTCTAGTAGTCACATTTGAATATTATTTTGTGCAGGAAGCTAAGAAAATGGAGGTGAATGAATTGCAATACTATCCCATTCCGATGCTTTACCGTGTGGCACAGAGGCTGATATGCTTGAAGCACTCTAATCATGATGAAGATTCGATAAGAGAAGCACTTCAGACTCTCAAAGAGAATTACCTTAGTGGTAGATTGTAGAGTGCTTACGAACTGACGCACTTGAACTCTCTCTTCATTGGATATTTTTTGGGAAGGTTATCATTGAGATGTAATACAAAGACTGTTGTTGAGCTCTTACATTATAAAACTTTGTTGGACAAACTTCTTCTATCTACATTCTACAACTCTACATGCTAGGAACTTTAACTAAATCACTACTTTCCCTCAAGGGGGTAGTCCAAAGAAATTAACTTCAAGATTGTTGAACATAAATTAACCCAGCAATGATGTGCCTTTTAGATTGAAGAGATAGATTGTACAATTTATAGCTGTCAAAAAATTCAATATTTTCATCAAGTAACATCCCAAATAAAAAATAACTCGTTTCACCTCTTTATTAACAAATTTATGAAACAAATTTCAAGTTTATTCAACCTTGCTATGGTACGCTCCATTTCAAGTTAGAGACAACATAACACAAATGCATATTACAATTATTTCAATCCAACATAACACAAGGCATAATACAATTATATTGTACAAAAATTCGAACCCAGAAGAATTGAAACCCAGAAAATTACAAACCCAGATTATATACTCCTTTGTGTATTATTTGACATAAACCCGAAAAAATTAAAACCAAACCATTCACCGGCATAAACACAAAGACAAAATTCAATTAACACAAACCCTAAACCCAAAGACACCAGAGATTCAAGCAAATTGAGGTATACCTTAAAAGATCCGAGGAAATTTGTGACATGCAAGAGTCGAGCAATCAGCCACCACCATTGCTACCGCCATTGCCTTCCTTCGCCTGATCTACTTTTGAACAAAGCTGGGCGAATCGTGAATTTGGAAAAAAATGTGAATTTGTGAACATAGTTAGGTGAAATTAAAATGTAAAGAAGAATGAATCGTGAAAGCAGAGCTAAAAATGGTTAACGGTGAAGACTGATTGAACGACGTTAACGATGAAGGTAGAGCTCAAAATGAGAATTAGGGAAGAATATGGATGGCCTGCGTATCGTGCGTAGGGAGAGGAATATTTGGGGAAAAATGAGGAGGGAAGTTAATAACTGAATATTTCATTTTGGCGCCTATATAAAAACGGTGCCGTTGCATTAGCCATTTTGTCGTTGGATTAGCCTAGGAGGACGTAGGATTAGAATGTGCCGTTGGATTAGCCAAAATGAGCCGTTGGATTAGCTGGCCTAATGCAACGGTTTTTTAAAACTATTGTATTAGCCCACTTTTTGATATAATTAACATGATGCCGTTGTATTAGCCTTGTCTAATACAACGGTAATAGATGAGCCGTTGTATTAGCTCTGTCTTTACCGTTGCATTAGGTCAAAAATGTAGTTGTGGTCAAGTCCCGACTAACCTTCGGGATAAAGACCGCTCGGGTCAGGTCGAGGGTGCGAGCCGTTGGAGGCCTTCGCACTTGCGAGGCTAGAGCTTTCAAGTAAGAGCTCGTAAGAGAGCAAAGCACGCGTGGAGGGTAAGAATGTCATTTCTCTTTCTCTCTCTTTTGTTGTTTAATTATGTGATTACATGCTTAGTTGCTTTAATTAGAAGCCGGGTCTTGGGAGGGTTTCTCTTCCGCATAGTGTCGGACACTACGAAACCCAATAGCGGTATCGGAGCCGCACTCACTTTAATTATTGTAACTAATAATTAATTGAGATGATTTAAAATGGATTTAAATTTCTGGTTTTGTTTTCTAATTAAATTAGAAACTCGTTTTCATTAGTTTTAATCTCGTATTTATACTAACTTTGGCTCATGAACCTAGATTTCGACCCAAAAATAGTGAATTTTGGGTGGATTCGATGTTCTAAATCGTTTTTGACCCTCTTTGAGAACTGTCTAGAAGCTAAAATCCACCTAGAAACATGTTTTTCGAGGGGTTTTTCGTTTTTGACGAAAATTTTTAAATCTTTAAACCTTGACTAATTATGCCATGTTAAAGGTAGATTAAATGTATGGTTGCGTCACTAATCTACTGAAATAATAAACCTTATTAAGCATGTTTATGAAGTCATAATTAGTGCTTGATTTGGTAAGCTCATTTTTCACATAAACTTTAAATTCCATAATTTTTCAAATTAATTGCTTAAAGTGTGAATGTTTATGGTGAATGTGTAATTTTGAAGTCCCTAATATATTAAAGATCCAATCTTTAATTGTTTATTTGGTTGAAACTTTGATTTCTAAATTCCATGTTGAACTAATTTTTGGATTCAATCATTTTTCAGTTGATTAAAGTCTTAAAAGTTCACAACTTGTGATTGAAATTTAATTAATCTTCATATTGGAAGATGTAATTTTTCATTTATACACAAGTTAGTGTTGGAATTTTTCAGTAGATGAATGGGTTTATTTTTCCAACCTCTTAAATTTTGTCAAATCTCATTATTAATTTATGTATGGTTAAATTAATTATGAGTATAGCCCTTCAATTTCGTAGCATCAAGGTGAACCTAAATTATTTTAAAGAGAGGTTCTTGAATTTATTTTTGTTTGTGCACTAAAAGTGAATTTATTTAAGTTAGACTTGTTATATTTTCATTCTTGCTCAATGTTGATTCTAAAATTAATTTAGAATCAATTTTATGTCACACATATAGTGGGATTTAATCCCGAGATAAAAGCATGCAAGTCGAGGCAAGCATCCCCGAGCACCACCTACGGCAAGGCTTGCGAGCTTCACACGCTGCCAGCACCAGCAAGCATGTTAGCATGCGTAGCATGGTGCGAGGCTGCTGGTGCCAGCAAGCGTGGCGTGCGCTACTAGCTAGGCAGGCCAGCACCTAAGCATGCATAGCTAAGGGTCCTTGGTGCCTAGCAAGCCTAGCCCTATGGCTTTGATTCTAGGCACTTCTCCATTTGGTGGGCTACCTTTTGTGTTTATTGAGCCGATTTTAATTATTTTATTATTTTTAACGAGGCTAGGCTTCGGTTTTGGAGGCACTTGCAAAATAATTTGGCAAAATATGGGTAACCGACGTGATTAATTAGATTAATTAAGTTGGATGCAAATTTAGTAGGAGCTTCGTTAATTACTTGAGCTAATTTATTGCATTTTAATCACATAATCAGTTAACAACTATGACAAGTTTTAATTAGGCACGTTAATCGGATTAACCACCTAAGTTAGTTACTACTTTGCCCGTGTTATGCATGGTTACTTGTTTTTCGTTGTAAAATGCATGGGTCATTCACACATAGTGAATGGATGAATGGAATGTATAATCTATCTCAGGTTTTGTGAAAATGGCAACTAGTGGGGCCTGACTAGGATAGTAAATACAGACTGCTATCGGTTATGTATTTTTGTAAATCTTAATAAGGTTTGCGTACCGTTGCGTATTTTTCTACCTTAATATTTTGATTAGTCCTAGTCATAGAAACTAGTAGTTGCATAGTTGGTGGAGATGTCTCGAAGACGGCGTTTCTAAGAAGACAAGCCAAGAAGTTGCATCAAAGACCTATAGAGATTTGAAGACTCAAGGGGTCATGCTAGTTGCCAAATGCATCTTTTACTTATGTTCTACATATATAATTGTGCTTATATATGATTGAATGGTATGATAGATGCATGTTTAGGATTTCAAATTTTGCGATGATTAATTAAGTTCACTTAAATCAACCAACATAGAAACCCCAGGTCCCTATAACATTGAGCCAAATTTGCCATTCCAAGAACAACACTTACCGAACTAATGCGAATAGTGATTGGCTATGCCAAAGCAAGGCATCACTTCTTCCCTAGGAACGTAAGGTATACTAGGTATTCAAGTTGGTCTTGGTTAAGCTCAACGATATTAGTAAGGAGTCCTTAGATGTCGTGGCAATGGAGATAAAATGTCATGGAAGCATTAGATGCGACGTTTTATCGAACCAAGAGTAGCTTAGAGCTATTAGCAATTGGATTGCTTACCTTAAATATTAAGTGTTAAGACAAGCCAAAGCATGCTTAATCACTTTTTTGATTTTTGGGATCTTGGAATCATTTTATTCTCGCCTAAAAAGGGACCAATATTAATGCGTGAATAAAACGCTAAACAAGATTGAAAATTTGCATGTATGCTTTAAATTTCAAACTTATTGGTATATGAATGCTTTTTCGTTTTAAATTCATTCTATTTAGAAACATGTCTGCAAATAACTCAAACAACAACTCTATGTGCCCAGAACTCCCCGACAAGTTGGCTTTTAGCCTTAACTTGGTCAACTTCAAGGAATGGGAAGAGGAACTCAAGAAAACTCTTCGGAATTGTTCCTTGGAGTACACTCTAGATACTCCCATTCTAAGCTTCTTCTGTAAGGGAATCATGAGCGATGAGGCTCTTGATGCATGGTCTTTCGAATGCAAGAAAATCTCACGATTAATGGCTAATTCCATCCCGGAAGAATGGAAAGAAAAGCTGTCCTTCTATTTTTTGGACATGTTCCTCAAAGCACTTGAGGACATTGTAAATGTGAGAGTCACTAAGAGTCTCCGCAACTAAGATGGACTCGTGTTTGTTGTGACTAGGTCACTCTCGAACATGAAGATAAAGCCACCAGAAGAAGGTTGTCTTGCTTAGGAGAGGCACCGGCTTTGGTCAAGGGTCTACAATACCAAATTAAGACCCGGTATGCCCCTCCGACCTCATGCGCTTACAATGACTAGGCTATTCAAGCAAATGGAGCTTCTCGAAATCTCATTGGAGGATGAGATGGCGGGTCATATCTTGCTTACTTAACTCCACTCGAGCTATGATGCACTTAGAGTACGTATAGCTGCGGGAAAGGAGACACGCTCTTTAAGAGAGGTGGTGTAGCTGCTTCACCGAGCCACCTCCTATGGAGCAACCGAAAGGCCCCTAAGAGCAAGGTAGAGGGAGTTCAAGAACAAGGCAAAGATGCGATGCTTCTATTGTGGTGGGAAAGGCCACTACAAGAAGGAATGCAAGATCTTCCAAAAGGATGAGGAGTAGAGGAATGTTTCATCTACCAAAGGTATCTTCATTAACACTTGTGTATAAAGCTATTCATAGGTATTGGATACCATGTATAACTCACTTTATGTTCCATTTCAGGGACCAAGTGAAGGGGCTTCACAAGTGGATGTGCAACTACGAGCGGACAATGAAGATAGTCTTTCCATCGTGCTTGTAGGCACATTATGTTTTTCTTTGGCTTGTAATTAAACTAATTCTTGTTTATCATGCCTTTGAACATATTTTGATCTATGGCGTTTGAAGTCGGGTTACTTGATCACAAGACTAAAACAATGGTTGTTTTTCGAATGTCTTGCTTATATGTTCCCTGAAAATTGCATATTTTACATATGATTAGACAAACAAGTTTATAATGTTAACGATACCGCCAAAAGAGCTAATACCATTGAGTCGAATCAAACCTACTTGTGGCATTGTCGTCTTGGCCACATTAAAATCAAACGCATTAAGAAACTTCTTCATGAAAGTATTCTTGACTTATTCGACTTAGAGTCGTTTGAAAATTGCGAAGGATGTTTATTAGGCAAGATGATAAAGCAACCATTCTCCAAGTTAGGAGAAAGGGCTAGTGACTTATTAGGTCTTATACATACGGATATATGTAGACCAATGAGTACACCCGCAAGGCAAGGTTATCAATATTTCATCACCTTCACCAACAACTATAGTAGATATGGTTATGTCTACCTTATGTCGAACAAATCTGAATCTTTTGAGAAATTCAAAGAGTTTTAGAGTGAAGTGAAAAATCAAATTGGCAAGAAAATCAAAGCACTTTGATCGGATCGAGGTGGCGAGTATTTGAGCCACGAATTCGACGATCACTTGAAAGAAAATGGTATTCTTTCAGAGTTGACACCTCCCGGAACTCTAAAATGGAACGGAGTGTCCGAAAGGAGGAATCGAACCTTGTTAGACATGGTCTGATCAGTGATGGGTCTTTGTGAACTTCCTATCTCTTTCTGGGGACACGCACTTCTAACCACGACACTAACACTGAACCGTGCTCCATCAAAAGCTGTTGAAACGACTCCATATGAATTATGGACGAAGAAACCTCCATGGTTATCTTTTCTTAAGATTTGGGGTTGCGATGCATATGTCAAAAGATTAATCTCTGACAAACTTCGCCCAAAATTAGACAAGTGTTTCTTTGTGGGATGCCTAAAAGAAACCAAAGGGTATTACTTCAATAACAAATCCGAGAACAAAGTGTTTGTTGCTCGTGATGGTGTCTTTTTGGAGAAGGAACACCTTTCCAAAATAATAAGTGAGAGG